ACACACACACACACACACACACACGCACACACATGCACACATGCACAACTGAGTTCACAAACAAGAGCAAATGACTGAGAGGAAACAGCCACATAACGCTCGCTGGAAAACACTTAGTTGTGCTCACAAAGGCCGCAGATGATGAAGAAATGAAATCTGAAGTGTCAACTCTTATATTGGTGAGGCAGAGCTGAGGATTTACACATGGTCACCACTGTAACTTGCATGATCACTTATAAATCCAAACTGGGGCCTGGGATATATCAGCAATATATTTTATTTACTTGGAGAATAAATGATATACCAAGATTTATCCTTGGAAGAATTCTAATACTAAATCAAAACCCCATTAATTCCACTGTCGCAGCTGACCAGCGATGCATCGATGACTTGACAGATGTTCACATGTATGCAAGGCCAGCTGTGTCCGCATGACTCCAGGCTCAGTCAACCTTAAAAAGGAAAAAAAAAGCTGCAGATAAAATATAATGTAATACTCTTGCCAGTGGGATGTCGGTGATGACTCATTCAGGTGTCAGGATTAATCCTCAACACTGAAACTGTCTCTTGAATCATGCATCTCCTGCCAGAGATGATCTTAATCTGAACTTTGGTTCCATCATCACTCTTTGGCTGTTCCCAGAAGTCTAATGCAGCCTGAAACTAATGCAATGATCATTTCTGTACAGTGGGATGCAATTAGATTCCTTTGTTTCCTGGTACAATAGGAGTAATTACTGTTCAAGACTCAATCCATGCAAATTGGTCTCAAGTATCAGAAGAAGAGCTTTTTTCTCTCTGAAGCTACTCTATAGACATTAAAATAATTATGGATATGTTCCACATATATAGAAAATCAGAATGTAGACAGATACTATCTGCCAACATATTCCACAAATGTCTGTATGTGAAATGTATATCTCGTGAACAGTTAATTCACTCTTAACATGCATGGTAATGGTCATTGGAAGTGCAATTTTTTTAATTTGGGCTAGTGATGCGTTCAATTTGAATAAAATGTGATTAAATAGGTGACTAGAGCTTCATAGAAGGGGCAGGGCATTGTGCCTTCGGTCTGTAAGATAGGTGAATATATCCTCTTCAGCCATAAACTGCAGTAGCAGATGATTTGGTGGCCTGGTGCCAAAATCTGACCCGCCAGATTATTTTGATGATTTCATTATTTTTATTTCACCATTTCATATTGACGCTGACATACCACAATTGCTGATTCGTCTTCAAAGTGAAAGTACAACATTCGTTTTGTTGCAGCAATGCTTTTTACCCTGCTGAATTACAGAGGTATTATTTTGAAAACTTGGGAACTCAGGTCTGATGTTTGTGTCGGTTTTTTAACAGACCTCTGAAATAGACAACAATTAATTAATTAATTAACATTTGCAAATTATTCAGTTTCATTTTGTAAAAAACTCAGACTACAAAATCTTAATTGCAGATAAATCAGGTAGGATGAACACAAAATGTTCTAACTACACTTTGCATCATTGATTGTTTATAAAAGCTAAATAAAGTATAGCTCCAGAGTATTATCACAGGAAAAAGCAAACAGCCCATGCCAAACAAGCACGTTTAGAACAGACCGTGCTCTAGCAAAACTAAGTCAACAATAATTTCTTTACAGTAAGAAGCAATTGCAAAGTGCAATTGTTTCATTTTACAGTTAGAATAATTTCTGTTTATTGTTTATTACATTACAACGTTTGTTGTCTCTGAAGCTACAGCTTAACGCTTATTTAGATATATTGACATAATTTAATATCTTCTAAATGTATGTTAATACAAACACAGACACTATAGTATCCATTTAAATCAAAATATTAGTAAATCTGAACAATCTCAATCATCCCTCCTTCATCTTCATCTGAGCTCCTGTTGCAATCTCCTTGACAGTTGTTGTCATGGAGATGGATAGACATGATAAATGCGAGCAGTGTTAAATAAACTGGGGGAACTTGATGAGGAGGGAAAAAAAAGGTGTCAAACACAATTTCTACATTTATTTTTCGCCCTGGGAATCAAAACCTCATCACATGACAGAAAAACACACAAAGATGCAGTGAATTCTTTGTGCCCGGAAAGCAGTGTGATCAGAAACAGATGAAATCAAACAGAGGTGAGAAAAAGAAAGAGGCAGAGGTGTTGATCAGAGGAGGAGTGAGATATGGAGGATGGAGGTGGCAGAGTGTGAAGAAAAACGAGAGGAGGCAACATATGACAGAAATAGATGGCAATATGTCTGGAGAAAACTATGTGAGATCTAGTGAAAAACAAACACATTATTGTGTATTTGAATTCAGGGTTTAACGCGAACCCTGTAGGCAACACACTTTGGATCACAACAGTTAATTCTGATTACAGATTCTTTACCACCATTAACAGTATTAAAGGCAGGAGTCCTGATGTAAATGATGCAACAGCTGCTCTGCACACAAACACGAGCCAGAAGGGAAGTGTCATGCCATGATATGAAGGAGATAATGATAGGAGTGTGTCAGGTGCAGATTTCCGACAGCTCTGTTACACTGTCGATGACTAAACACCAGCGCCGCGGGCCCAACTGCTCCTGGAACAGATTGGATTCAGCGAGCTCATCTGGTGTGCGCCGTGAAGGTCCGCCCCAAGCAACGCCAGAGCCAAGGTGTTTTCGACTGTTAGCGACATCTTGGTTTTCAGAACAGTACAGACATAAGGCAAGTCAACAAAATGGGTGGTAGTAGACGCCAACTTGCATCAACACAACTTTGCTGGTACAAAATCCAGCGTTTAAAAAAAGGCTGCGTTCACATGGACAGCAATGTTATGATATTAACCTGACTAAGACAAATAGGTCTCACTTGTATTAGAACGTCCTATTGGAGTTTTTACATACAGCAGCTACCAACTGCTGGATGACAAATATCTTGGGTGTTACATAGATTGAAAAATAAAATGGGGTCGCATCATATATTAAACCATATCATGTTGGTGGTGTAAAACTGGAGGAATATTGACGGACATAATGACATAGTGGATGTAATGGTGGGAGTCATAATCGCACAATGCTCTGTAACACGTAAAGGTATATGAATAGAATATTCTATTAGCAACTTATGTAAACACCCTAATCAAAATAATGTCTTGACCTTATTCTGAATATTTGCATCATGCGTCATGTGGTCAAAGATGTATTTGCTACCTCACCTTGAAGTACTGGCCTCTTAAAGGTCCAGAGTGTAAGATTTAGGTGAAAGGGAACGTTTGGCAGAAATTTAATGTAGAATAATCCTCATGTTGTTTTCACTTGTTCGTTTCATCTAAATTGTATAAATTGTAGTTTTCTTTAACCCAGAAAAGGCCTTTTATATTTAAATACTTTATATTTACATCGAGGGGGTCCTCTCTACAGAGGCCACCATGTTTTTTACATTATTCCAGACTGGACAAACTAAACACCTTTTGAGTTTTTATGACAACTGAAGCTACCACAGGTTCTTTTTCATCTTTGGAAGGGGAGGGTGAGGTGAGGGGTGTTCAGCTACAACATGTAATTTCAACACAAGATATCACAAAAGTCTACACACTATACCTTTAAATTGGACTGAACAGTATATCTTTAATTACAATCGATTCTTGATTTTGCCATGGACATTTGTGTGTAGCACTTTGTAACCTATTTCAAAGTTATGATCATTATTAATGAAAGATGGCTGAAATTCTAATTAGTGCTCAGTGGTGAACACATTTAATTTACTCGATGAGCCTCAGTTGTCCTTACTTGAATATCTGAATTTTCTTCAACATAGATCTGTCAGCAGTGAAGATTCTTGGTCCAACTTGCATGTGAACAGTCAAACCAAAAAACTGGAAGTACAATAGATGCATTTCAGTGTTTATAGGAAATGGGAGGGAACAGAGAGCAGTCTAGGTCACCATAGTGACAGGCTGCCTCTCAATGTTTACCAGAGACAAGAGCGTAACTCCCAAACCAAAACACAAGACACTTAAGACACTTCAGAAACATAAGCATTCCTGCACATTAAAAGCATGTTTTGATTCTAAAGCCACAGTTATCTCCACCTGGTGACACACGCTGAAGTGGCGGTACAGGTGGCACACACAGCAAACCCTCCAGACAGAAGTCTTTTCATTTAAAAAAGGATTTAGGCTTGTTCTTCACTTAAGGGTCTGTGGTACAATATTTTAAATCTAACTGACACGTTTTTACTTGTATCTGGCTTTGATCTAACCTTCCGAACACTTTCTTGCGCTGCCGTACTTATTTTTCCTTCCTGGGAATTTTGCCATATACCTCTCAACGCTTGGCACCGTAACACAAACATTAAAGGAGATAAAAAAAGAAACAAGTTGACCCCTGTGCATCCTTTTCTCCCCAGTAGCTTCTCGAGATGCTTTTATCAGAACAAGGAAGAGTAACAACAAACACAAAGCATCAGCTTCACCTCGGAGAGTAGTTGCTTTGTTTGCTGGCTCATCTATTTTGTTTCTATCTCACGCTGCTATAAATTCATCATTCATCCTGGCTGAGTATTGTTCACACTCTCCTATCATGCCCTCTCCACAACCCAGTCTCCATGACAACAGGCTCCTCAAGCATAAGGCCAGGGAGGTATGATATGTGAGCTGCGTGTTAATTCACATGCTCTCGCCTGGACCCGTCCGTTTGCCTCCCGTTTCTCGTCCGTGCGCACGCTCACTCCCCACTCACATCCAACAGGCACCCACGCATGCACACAGAACACACACACACACACGCACACACACGCACACATACACACACACATAATGATAGAGTCAGGGGCAGTGATTTTGCTCTTGTTCTCAAGGACATCCTACTCCGTGGAATACTGTAATCTCTCCATCATGACCACAGCACATGCTCTACCTCACACCTCAGCGTCCTGCTGCTTCTTCCCTTGCAGAGATATTTTTGATTCTAAAAAATTATGTTTTTTTTATACTTTAGATATAAAATGTTGCATTAATGCTGTTGGCTACTGCACTTTACATTTCCATACAGTTTGGTATCAACTGGTCACATGTATGTAAATCTCTAACTGTCAGTATTTCACTCCACAAAAATACAAACAAACATTTCTGCTTTTTTTTGAATGTGCTTATAAACAACACAAAAAAAGACAAAAACAAACACATTCATTGGTCTTAATTACTATGTTGAGACTGTTTTCTTTCTTTCTTTCTTTTTTCTCTCTCTTTCTCTCGGTTTAATCTGTCTTTCTGTGGCTCTTTTGTCTTCTCTCCATCTCTCTCTGACCGGTGTTGACGTACCTCTGGACGATGTCCTCTGCTTGGTTTGCATGGTCAAAGTGCCCACCACTGCACCCATGTTGTCACCGTGGAAACCAGCCCTGGTCAAACAACCCAGAGAGTAACAGTCCGCTGTTTATATCAGGATTTTGTTGTCCTGTCGTCGTCCTGTCTTCATCTGCCTCCGCGGCTCTGTATCTTAAAGGGGCTTTGCCCCTGTTGTATCTCCTCACTGGCTTCAGTTCTGTCACTGGAGGACGCCTCTCGTCTTTGAGCTGATTCTCTTGGATTTCTGATCTCTCTCTCCAAACACACACACACGAGCTGCTCCTGCCTTTCTGCGCCACTCCCTCTCTTCTGTGCCTCACTCTACTCATCTGTCAGCCTCCCCCTCTCTCTAGTTCCCTTGCTGCTCATGCCCTCATGTTATGGGGGAGTGCTGGTTAGTAATTCAGTAATAACAACAGTAAGCGGTGAATGGTAACAGATAGAGGACATTCATTTAATGCTGAAATGCCCAAGTCTCTATGGCGTTCAGAAAAAAAGTTATTCAAAAATATCTTGTACTTTTTTTTTTAGATTTGGTGGTTTCACCATTTCCGAAGGTCGTAGAAGCTTGAAGATTGTCCTAGTGGATCGAGCATAGGCACATTAGTGGAGATGGAACCAACTTCCAAGGCTCTATGACCTTCAGAAAAAAAGTTATTGAAGAATATCTTGATCTCCAATGGGTATTCATCCCTAGCCCTAATCACAACCCTAACCCCAACCCTATCCCTCATTGCAACCCTAACCCTAACCCATATTCACCATAGGGTGAATAACTCCAAAAATGTATTCTTATTTTCTGCTCCCATTCATGACTTGTCTTTTTACTTCCACTAACATGAGTACACACACACACATGCACAATGTGTTAATCATGCCTTCAGTCCAATAGCATTTCAAATGAGTCCTCTGCCTTGTCAAGCATGGTCTGTGACATCATTAGCATGTACATATATGTTTGCGGTCAAGGCTGCCCACGTGTGTGTGTGCTCGATCTTTACTATCATCCCTCTTAATATGGCTGATGGAGAATTACTGTGATACAAACAAGAACATTATGGTGTTAATGAATATTCATGGTATGACTGTGTGCATTAGGGGAGGAAAGCTGTGGAAGCAGCTAATGTTTATTATCCTGTGAGTGCTCAGCATTAAGATTCAGACAGGGCTGGTGGAAACAGAGGTAAGAGTTTGTAAGTGTTGTTTTCTGCTTGAGTAATATTACTCACTGCAGTAAAAAGAAGCTGATGAGGAAAATGTGTCTGGGAAGTTCCTAAAAAGTAATTGCTGTGGGGTGCATGTAGTGGAACACAATGTCTTTTTAAATATGCCACTGGCTGCAGACCAGAAATGTAAATGCTCTCTCTGCATCGCTCCGTCTATATGTGTTTAGGTGACGGCTCCTCTCTGCCTTTTTTTTCAATGCTGTTTCAGCTTTCTTGTTTCTTAAAAGTTGCGTTCCACTCCTTGGCATGAGCCAGAACAAGAGCGGCCATGTAAAAGGAATAAAGTGACATTACAGTAAAGTAAAAGATAACAAACATAAGATTTGTTACATCCTGGGTTTAAGAGCTTGAACTCTGTTGTCATTCATAAATTGAATATTTATTCCCTCATAGTTATTTTAGCCTGGCCTAATTAATGCTGTTTGAAGGGGGAGGGAATAAGTCCTCATAATGTGAATCATTACATATTCAGGTAAAGACACGTTTAGTTTACGGTCAGGTTAAGTTATGGTTTAGGTTAAATGTTTTGGGTCAGACAAGTATGATTAAGGTTAGAGTTAGTCTCCATGAAATCAATATAATGTCCTCTTTAGTCATGAAGACACCTCTTTCAGACCTTTTTCACAGATCATGTCAGGACCAGTACACCTCATAGGGACCAAAGCCTGATCCCAATGAGGCAAAACATCATTTCCGACGTCCTGCTTAAGGTAAGGGAATCAGATAATCATTTTGTTTAGGTCAGGGTTAGGCATGAATTGGTCATGGTCAAGGTTTAGGATAAAGTTTTGGTTAGGCTGTCCACGATGGATGGAAGTCAATGCAAGGTCCTAACAAGGACAGCTGCGCAAACCTCTGTGTGTGTGTGCGTGTGTGTGTGTGTGTGCGTGTTCATGGGATCTCCTGAGGGCCGTCTGCAAATGTGGAGTTGAGGTAAGAACTTGTCATGCACTGATTAATTAAACATAATGTCATGCATAATTCTAATAAACACACACCCCTCTCAAAGTTCTGTTCCACAATAATACACAAATAAAATAAGATAAAACATTTTCAGTGCTACAAATCCATTAACGCACATGCATCTCATTTAAACATTTCCCTAAATTTTTCTACAAAATATTACAAATTTAAAGAATCTCCTCTCAGTTTACCTTAGTTTATTGCATTACATCCCCTTCAATTCAATGTGAAGAGTCTGACCCACACACACTATAACCCTAGCCCTAATAGTCCCAAACTGGGGACACGACTTTTGTCCCAAAAAGCCTAAGCTGTCCGCAATGAATTAGTATTTAGTCTGAAATTTGTCTCCCTAAGACTGAAATACACACGCACATACACACACATGCAGGATTCAAATAGGAAACCCATGTAATCCCAGATGTGACAGATGTGTGCCATCTGGAACTGCCTTTCTGCACCATATCACTCTGTACTGTGACATGCATCAAGGACACACACGCTGCAGTCTGACTTCATAATCCTTTCATTTTCTTGTCACAAGTGGTTGAGCTTCACACGTCAGCTCCCATCAGACGAATCAAAAGTGTGTCAGATGTGCTGCACGACTTTCCTTTTCACTGACATCTGGATTTCTTAAATCCTTTTACTCTGATATCTTTTATCATGTTTCATTCATTTCATAATTCCAGGTAAGATGAAAACATCAGTTCAGTGACGGGATGTAAAGAAGTACTTTAACTTTGTTGCTGTACTGAAGGATATTTTTCATGTATCTATCACCTAAGTTGAGTATATTTCACTTTCACTCCACTACATAAAACAGTAAATATTTCTATGTCACTTCATTTTTAGAAGTCTTTACTCTGCGTTTCGTATATTTGTTTTTCATTTGCAGGTAAAATTAGACCCCATTACCTTTAATGAGAGCAAAACACAGGCAGCAGCATCACTGAAGAAACACCTATTGGAAGAGACTCAACCATGAGGATGTCGTAGACATTAGGGAGTAGGCTAAACGCAGCCAGTACTTATAATACTAAAAATACACCTACAAGCAATTAGTTACTTCTACTCGAGTAGAAAAAGGTAATGTAGCATTTTTATCTGAATACATTTTTGTCCATTTATTTTTAGGCAAAATGTTTGAGTACTTCCTCCAGCACTAAGTCAGTGAACACCTGAATGAAACGGAAACCATTCTTTCAATAAGACATTTTCAAGTCTGATGAAGTGAAGGTTTATAATTTCAAATAAAACTGATGAATCTGTTGATGTGGGTATAAATGATATCTCCTTCCTCTCTGACAGGAGTTGAGCATTTTTGTCTGCATTGGATTTATTTCTTCTCTACAACTCTCTTCTTCACCTTGAAATGTCTCTGTCATCTGCACACTCCATATGAGAACTATTTTTTTGCCAGAGTGTTTGTTACATTAGCCTGCCTACTGACTGTAAATCTGCAATGTTTCAGTTAAATGTATTTCCTGCACTTCCTATTTTTTGTAGGTTTCCATTTGGGTCCAGCTCAGCAAATAATGTATTCGGCTTGTCTTTGGGCTATGGGAGGAAGATGGAGTGTCCGAGACTCAAATAAAATTACCACGTCAAAAAAAGAAATAAGTTACCACCTTAGGCTACTTTTCCTTGTTTTATA